AATTATTAACGTTGGCTCTTGGTTTTGCATATATGCTTTTCTCTATGTTGAGGAAATTCCCTTCTATTCCAATTTTGCTGAGTTTCTTTATCAGGAAGGGATGTGGTATTTTATCAAATGCCTTTTCTGCATCAATTGCTGATAACATATGGTTCCTGTTATTTACTTTGCTAATATAGTGAATTACTTGATTGTTTTTCTTATGTTTAACCATCCCTGCGTACTTGTTATAAATCCCACTTGGTCATGGTGATTTTTTTTTATGTACTTTTGGATTCTATTGGTTAGGATTCTGTTAAATATTTTGGCATCTTTATTAATGAGCTATATTAGTCTGTTTTTTTCTTTCTTGGTAATACGTTTGCCTGGTTTTGATATCAGGATTATCTTGCTTTGTAGAATGAATCTGGAAGTGTTCCTTCTTTATAATTTTTTTAAAGTCATTTAAGTCAAATTGGTGCTAAATCGTCTCTGCATGTTTAGTAGAATTCAGCTGTGATGCCATCTGGTCCAGGAATTTTCTTATGGTGAATTCTTTTTATGACCTGTTCACTTTCTTCTTTTGTGATGGGTCTGTGGCGAGGCGGTGGCGTTCCGCGCGCGACCTTCAGTGCTCTTGGCCGACTGGCTTGGCGTGCTAGCCCAGGTTCCCCCCCAGGTTCAAGTGTTCTAGAACTATCCTTGTCAATCTGAGTAGGGTATTTGTTTCAAGGAATTTGTCCATTTCCTCTAAGTTTTAAAATTTATCAGAGTATAGCTTTTAGTAGTATTCTGATATTATAGATTTAATTTACTCTGGTTCTGTTGTGATGTTCTATCATTTCTTAATCAAGTTATGAATCTCCTCTTTCCCCCCTTTTGTTAAATTTGTCAATGGTTTGTCAATTTTATTGACCCTTTAAAAAAATCAGCTCCTAGTCTCATTGATGGTTTCAATTGTTAGATTAATTTCAATTTCTCAGCAGAAACCATGTGAGCTAGATGGCAATGGAATGTCTTATACAGAAACTTAAAAGATGACGATTTCCAGCCAAGGATTTTATTTCCGGCAAAGCTCTCTATCAAACATGAAGGGGAAATTGGACTTATTTTTTTTTTGCAGAAAAGAAGGAACTTAAGGAATTTGTGAAAACAAGACCAAAACTAAAAGAAATTTTAAGTAAAATCCTTCATGTGGAGGAGCTACAGGAAAGTGTATGGACCATAGTAACTAGAAACAATAGGAAAAGAAACCGGGAAGCATGGCAAAAGTAAACGTGGCCAGGCAATAATCACAGGATTTTAAAGCTTATAAAACCATCCATGTGGAAATGAAGAAACTTTCTGCCAGAACATGATTGCATTAAAAACGAAATAAAGAATTAAATTAAAAAGTTCCTTGAAACAAATGATAATAAAAGTACAAGTTACCAAAACCTCTGGAACACAGCAAAGCAGTCCTCAGGGAGTAGTTTATAGCAATAGGCATACATATAAAAATATAAGAAAGAAGAAAAACCAATGATCTAATTCAACACCTTCAGCAAATAGAAAAAAAGAAAAATCTAATTCTACAACCTCTAGAAGAAAAGAAGTTATAAAGACAAGAGCTGAAATTAATGAGATAGAAAATAGAAAAACAATTGAAACCATCAGTAAGACCAAGAATTGGCTTTTCAAAAGGCTCAGCATTTCTTAAGCTGAAGGAACAAGAATACATTCTAGGCCCAGGTTGCAATGTTTAAGGATGCTATGGGCAGAATGCTGAATGATCCAGGAGGCATCAAAAGAAGATAGTTTCTCAAAAAATTTCAAATAGAAATACCATTTGACCCAGCAATTCCACTACTGGGAATATACCTCAAAGAAACTATAACCGCAACCCAAGCAGATATATGCACACCCATGTTTATCGTGGCTTTGTTCACAATAGCAAAGAGTTGGAAACAACCTAAGTGCCCATCAATGATAGAATGGCTAGAGAAGCTGTGGTATATTCATACAATGTAATACTAGGCTGCACTGAAAAACAAGGAACTCATGCTTATTCAAAATGGGTGACCCTGGAGGACATTATGCTAAGTGAAATATCTCAGTGACAAAAGGACAAATACTGCAGAGTGCCACTGTTGTAAAACAGGACCGACATAAGGGTTGGGGGAGACTGAGAAATATGGGATAAATTATGTATATTGCATTGAAACAGATGAGGGAGAGAACTGTTTAAAAGGGATATATGATTATGTATTACTGTCATGACAGGAGTCCAAAACAAATGCTGCATAGTGGAGTGGACTTGTGGGGGAGGGATTGTATAACAATGAAAGAATTTTTCTTTTACTTTTCAAAGAGAAGAGTGAACTGGGGGAGGGGGAGATTGGGCAGGGAGAAAAGTGTAACAGTGAATGAATGGAAATACAAAGTGTCTGTAAACTTTCATTAAAATTAATTAAAAAAGAAAGGGGAGGGAAGAAGAAGATGGAAGGAGTATACAAAGTCTCTGTACCAAAAACAATTGGCTGACAGAAAAATTTCATGAAACAGCATATGATCAAGAGGCAATGGTCATGAAGGAGGAAGTTTAAGCAGCTCTGTAGGAATTGGGGGGAAAATTCTTTTTTCTCCTGCAAGACTCTCTGCACAAGCTAGCTCTGTAATAGGAGTGGAGAGAAACAATGCTTGAGGGAAACATCTGAGCTGCACCACAAAGAGCTCTCCCATATGGGAAATGAGAAAGAAAAGAAGTTGAGGTTTAAGGAGAAATAGAGGGAAGTCAGAAGAACTGTAATAGGAAAACAGAAAAATGGGAAAGGGAAAGGGGGAGGGGATGAACTCTTGCCTCTGGAATGAGGGCAAACCAAAGTGGACATTATTTCATAATGCAAACTTTAGTTTGATTTATTCCCTTGTTCAGCAAGTTGGACTGGTTTACCAATAACCCTCAATCCCCAGTTTGGGTTTGTAGGGGAGTGGAGGAGGGTCATCATCTAGATCTCAGTTCCACCCTATGCAGGAGGACTGTGCTTCTTTCCAGAGGGGAAACAGAAACTTGTGGTCTGATTGTTTACACAGACCAAAGGGCTTCAGCATTAAAATCTCTCCTTATCCAGGAAATACACCCTTTCCTGGAAATAAGGAATTGTCTTCTGTCTCAAAAATGGCTGGCTGCCCTATTCCTGTGTAGGCATTAGGGCTCAGAGAAGCTGAAAGGAGGGCCTCTGGAAACCTTGTTCTGGAAAAAACCAAGTTATTTTCCAGTTAATTCATTTTCATGACTAATTTCCTGCAGCCAGAACATACTCTTTAGTGTCCCAGAAAGCCACAGACCAGCCTCTAGCTGGGGCTGGGCTACTTAACAGGAAGATGGAGGAGTGGATTAGGAATGTCCTCTAGAAGCTTTTCCAAGCCAGGACAAATTGCTCATGAAACTATTCTCATTTTTCCTTGCCTTTAAAGAATTTTTCCTACATATATAATTCACATTCCTCATATTGTGGAAACATTATTACTATCTTTTTCCAAATTATTCTACTGCCATTAACATGAATCCAAGATCCCCTAAGCAAAAGTACTTTCCACCTTTGGTGGCCACTCAATAATCTTTGGTTTCTATATATTTGCTTATTTCATGTAAGTAAAATCATACCATATTTTTCCTTTTGTAACTTTTTTTTGTTCAGCGTGATGTTTTTAAGGGTCATCTATGTTATGAAAATAGGACTTTATTTCTCTTTATGCCAAGTAGTATTTCATTGTGCATACAGGTGTTTCATTTGTCCATTTGTTAGTAGACATTTTGGCTGGTTTTTTACTTTTTTTCCTATTATGAAAAGTGCTGCAATGAACATTGATGTACAAATTCCCTTCTCCCTTTGAGGCCATCTCTCTCTGCCTTTAGCAGCCATTCTTAGCAACAGTAACTAAGTTACCTGTTGTTGTTGATGTTGATTACAACTCACAGCAACCCTATGAATAAACAGATCTAAACCTTGCTCTATCCTGTGCCATCCTTATAATCTCCACCATGCTCAAGCCCATTATTACAGACACTGTATCAATCCATCTCACTGAGGGTCTTCCTCTATTTCACTGACCTTCCATCTTTCCCAGTATGATATTTTTTCTAAGGATCAGTTCTTCATGACAATATACCCAAAGTATGTGAGATGAAGTTTCACTTGCTTCTAAGAAGAACCTTGGTTTCACTGCCTCCAACACAGTTATTTTTTCTTTGGGCAATCTATGGGATGTTCTGCGTTCTTCATCAACCCCACAATTCAAAGGCATTGATTCTACTTTAGTCTTTTTCATTGTCTAACTTTCAGATGCATACAAAGAAAAATATCATAGCCTTGATCAGGCCCACCTTAGTCTTTAAGGATATCAAAGATTACCTTGGACTAGTGGAATTATTCCTCTTAGGGCTGTGAGTAAGCCTGTCACTAGTCCATCTTCAGAGCTTGTTTATAAGACTCACTTATGCACATGTATTCTATAAAGGAAATGTGCCATTTATTTATAGTCCTTATTGAAGCTTGGAAGCAGGAATGGCATACACTTCTGAAATAGCTTGCCTCCAGAAACTCTATGAACTTTGAGAAACTATGAAAGTTATACAGGTGTTCAGGTCTTTCATTCATAGGGTCGCTATGAGTCATCTAGGACTGACGGCACTTAACAACACAACAACAATAGAGTGAAGAATGATCAAGAAGTTCGATGTTGTTAGGTTTTTTACCTTTTTAACAAAGGGTTCTAATATTACCAGTAAACCACCACACCTACCCCTCACCCTGGGAACCATGAGCTCACCCTTTATGCACCAGAGGTGCTGAGGTTTGTCCACAATAGTTTTGCTGTTTCATAAGAAAAACTACTAAGAAGCTTTTCTGCTAAATGTTCGTCTGGCTTTTTGTTTATGGAGTACTTCAGAAAAGAACAAAGTTGAGTGAGGGGAAAGGTGGGGAAGTACTTGAGTGAGAAATTGATACATCATTCTGATATTGTTTTCTTCATTCTAGGTTCAGGTTATTATCCAGATGAAAGCTACAATGATGTATATGTCAAAAAAGTTCCACAAGCCCCTGCTCTAGAATACCAAGGTAATTCTCTCTGTTCCTTAGGCTTAAAAAATATCTTTTCTTAAGTATCATTCAATGAGACTTAGCTCATATGTTCCAACAATGAAGCTCAGGGAATCAGGAAAGGAGTGTGTTAGGGATATGTCCTATCTCCATACCTTTTCAATCCGTATGCAGAATGTGTCATTTAAGAGGCTGGGCTTTATGAGGAGGAATGTGGCGTCAGGATTGGAGGAAGATTCATCAGCAACCTATATAATGCATATTACATAACTCTGTTCGCTGAAACTGAGGCAAACCTGTAGTGCTTGCAGCAGAAGACTGTAGTCTTCAATATGGATTGAAGCCAATGTCAAGAAAACACAGATTCTCATTACTGGGCCTATTGGCAGCACCATGATGGATGGAGAAGAGATCAAGGTTGTTAACAGTTACAGCTTGCCCGCCTCCACAATCAACACACTTTTCACCAGCAGTCAGGAAATCAAAAGACAAATTGCAATAGGTAAGTTTCTGTAAGGGACCTTTCAGGGTAATGAGAAGCAACAATGTCAGTCTGGAGACTAAGGTGCACCTTATCCAGGCCATGGTCTTCACAATTGCTCACTATGCATCAGAGAGCTGGACAATGGCTAGGGATGACAGAAGAATTGATGCCCTTTGAGTCGTGGTGTTTCCCTACTCTGTTCTGAAGACTGCTTCCTGGTCCAAGTATAGGTTTCACATAAACACAACCAAGTGTTTTGGGATTCCCATTCTCCTCAAGAAGATGAAAGGAGTATACAGAGTCACTGTACCAAAAAAAGAAAAAAAATTGACACAGAAAAATGTCAAGAAACAACCTATGATCAAGGGGCAATGGTAATTCCAGTGTGGAAAACAATGTATGCAAACTTTGTAAGTAATCCAGTATAAAATAAAAATTATATATCTATTGCTATATAAAGACAATGGTGATGAAGGAGGAAGTTCAGGCTGCTCTGAAAAACTTGGCAAAAAATAAAGCCCCAGAAATTGATAGAATACCAATCGACATATTTCAACAAACATGCTGCCCTGGACGTGCTCACTAGATTTTGCCAAGAAATCTGGAGGACAAGTACCTGGCCAATTGACTGGAAGAGATCCTTATTTATTTTCATTCCAAAAAAAGGTTACCTGACAGAGTGTGGAATTATAATACAATATCACTCATATAATAAGCAAACAAAACCCTGCTGAAGATTATCCAGAAACAACTGGAACAGTACTATGACAGAGAATTACCAGAAATACAAACTGAGTTTAACTGAGGCCATGGCACTAGAAACATTATCACCAATGTCAGAAAGCAAAGAGTACCAGAAGGATAGCTATCTGTTCTTCATTGACTGTGCAAAGGCATTTGACTGTGTGGATCACAACAAATTGTGGTTAACTGTGAGGTCTAGGTTAGTGTGCAGGAATTTCTGGCCCTGAAGGATGCATGATTCCCAATTTCTGCTGCTGAAACTGCTCTATTTAAACCTAGTGGGATAGTAAGACTAGCCAATCCCCTTGTGCATAGACAAATACACCTTATTTGTATGATAATGTCCATCCATGTTGCAAAGTCAGTCAATGGCTAGGAAAGCCAATTTGAACAATATACCCTTGACACTATACTGTGTGACCTCACTTCTCTAGCCCTAATGTTGCCCATCTGTTATTAATCAGTAAGTATTGATTATCTATCCTACGCATAATTCTGTATTAAGTAAACCTATGAGTGATACAAAATCTTAGTGTTTTCCTCTTCAAGGGGCTTATATTTAGTTGGAGACCAAGAGTAATAAAACAAGCATCTACAGGGCAATTAAGTATGAAACTATATAGTAACAATAAATACAAAAGGAGTTAAGAAAAGGAAATTAAGGAAAGAAAGTTTGGGATATTTAACCACAGAAAAAAAATTTAAGGAAAGTATAATAGATTAATTATCTCAAGTGTAGATTTGAATTGAAGATAAAGAAAATGTATTTGGCAAGAAGAAAGTAAATGGTGAACTTTGAGGAAAACATAATAAATAAGCAGAGCTTTGGGCTCCTCTGTGCTGCTTTCTAGCTACTATCTACCTACTTTCTTCTCACTCTAAAATGTTACAATATAACTGCCTCCTAGCTTTCGCATTCACTTCCTAACTCCTTATAGTTTGTAACTCGCTCATAAATCTCATGTTGAAAAATCTCTTGAAGATCCAATGACCAAACCAATGGCCTTTTCTTGTTCTTCAGTCTCCTTAGTCTATGAACAGCAGTAAGCACATCCTTTTTTTCTTAATCTCTCCACTAGCTGTTTCACTATGCAGGTTCTAGCTCCAGACAAGAAAGGAAATGTGCTCCCCATTGGTGACAATAGATAGAATGAGACTAAGATCTTAACTTTGGGCAACTCTGGCCTGTCTCCTGAGTTCCTGGACCACAGCTTTAACTGCTACAGAACATTTTCATTTGGAGATAAAAAAACATAAATTATTTTACCTTCCCTATAAGAAAAGGTTTTATCAGCCTGCTAATTATGCCATCATTCTCTTAGTTACTGGGACTTAAAAACACCTTCTTGTTACCTTTAATAGAATTCATCATCTTTAATAGTTCCTTTTCCTCATTGCCTCTCACCAGTTAGTCACCAAGATTTGTCATTTCTTTATTATTCCACATTATTGTTGTTGTTGTTATGTACCGTCGAGTTGCCTGCGACTCATAGCTACCCTATGCACAACAGCCCCAAACCCTGCTCTATCCTGTGCCGATCTTATTGTTTCTGACACATCTACTCCCATTACTGCAGTCACGGAATTAATCCATCTCATAGAGAGTTTTCGTCTTTTGCGTCTCAAGCATGACATCCCTCTTCAAAGACTGGTCCCTCCTTGCAACATGTCCAAAGTATGTCATACAAAGCTTCAGAATCCTTGCCTCCAAGGAGCAGCCTGGTCTCACCTTCTGTAGGATGAATCTGTCCATAGGACCTTTTTTCTCCTTCCTTCCTTCCTTCCTTCCTTCCTTCCTTCCTTCCTTCCTTCCTTCCTTCATTTATTTATTACTTTATCCATGGTTAATGGCAATTACCTCCTAACTGGATGCTCTGACTCAGGTTTCTCCCTATCCAAACCTGGTGGATCACTATGACCACTTCTGTTAGAATCTGGCCTCAGTATAGCTTTATAGTCTAACAATTTATTACCCCTTCTCTACAAATTAGATTGATGTTTCATCTCAGCTGCTCTACTCTGTTCCCTGACTACTTTAGGCCATAGTGAGCTTTCCCTAATCCATTCACTATTTTATCAATTTATTCAATGATTATTTATTGAAAGCGTATCATGTACCTCATCTGAAATAAATATTTGTTAACTAGACCACTTGTTTGGCATTCATTATGTACTAACTCTTTGTTTTTCTTTAATTGCCCTCAGCAGGATTTGCATCCACTTCCTAAATAACATGCCTCTGGAAATTATGAACTTTGATAAATATCAATTGTTGTAGAAGGGCTTCAGGCCTTTGGTTCTTAGGATCGCTATGAGTTGTGCTCAACTTGAAAGCAATCAACAACAACAGCAACACCCTCAACAGAAATTTTATTTATTTAACAGAAGGGGCTATTTATAACACTATCACAGAATCATGTTAAAATCAGATGCTCAAAAAATGTGAACTCACTGGTTAGCATCTTGGGAACAGAAGCTAGATTGCAGGAAACAATAAATGAGCAGGAGTCCCTAATATGTGGTACAATCGAGTAATCCTCAGCTATATGGTAATTAACTTAACTCAGGGGTGCCTCCAAAGAAAAATCTGACTATGTCTGAAAAAAATCTGTCATTGAAAACCCTACGAAGGACAGTTTTATTCTGACAGCTGGTTTCTGTAAAAAGGAAAAAGAAACATAAAAAAATCCCTTTCAAGAGGACAGGCAGTTTATATTGGTCTGCTTCCTTGGTTATTTTTAAATGAGCATAAAACTCTTCAGATAAATAGAAGCTACATTGTGTGCAGCTTTCAGCACTGAGATCTATTTTTTAAATAATTCTTTAAGACTTAGCCTCAAAATAAAAAAAATGAGTGAAGTAATAATCAATGATGAGTAGGGAAGAAGTAGCAGGGAATAGTAGAATCTCTGGTCCTAGCCTCCCTTTTAAGATCTTTGCAATTCCATCACCAACAGTTCTGCAAAGCTAGCATGTTGGAGACTTTCTGTAATTTGGAGATTGTGTCTCCAGGTGGCAGTGGTGTATCATTGTCACGGGCTGGAAAGAAAACACTGGAAGTCAGTGTGCTGTTTCTTCAAAGAGGGATGGAATGATGGCTTAAACTCAGGCATCAATGTAGGTAATACTTCCAGGGCTAGATATTTTACACACCCAATTCCATTTTACTCTTACAACAGTCATATGAAACAGGTTTACCGTCCTCCATTTTACATATCAGGAAACTGAAGCTTGAGAAAATTAAATTTGAAATCACATGGCTTAAAGGTGGTCGAACAGGAATTGAGATCCAGTTCATAGCATTTATTTCATTAAAAAATGTAATTCATTGTATAAAAAGGAAGAGCTATCAGTAAAAAAAACCCAGAAATTATTTTGGTCCATTGTAGAGCCTGATACTTTTTTCACTCTTCTTGAGCAGTCTTTTACCCCTTATCCTGATTTGTAGCTTGGAATCAGAAACCCTTCTCTAAGGTATTCCTTCAGACGTCTGAGTAGCTGCTTTTTTCATTTTGGGTACATCTCAGGCAAACTAGTCACTGTGTCTGCGTTATCTGAAGATTATCACAGAGAACGTCCTTTCAACTCTATTGTCATAATTTCCAATTCTTTATGTTATTGTTTACAGTCAAGTCAACATCGATCCATAGCTGACCACAATGTGTTTTCAAGACAGTAAATTGTATGGGAGGAGATTGTCTATCCTCCCACGGAGCAGCTGGTGCATTTGAACCACATGCCTTTGGGTTTGAAAGGTACTTTCTTACCACTAGGTCACCAGAGCTCCTGA